TCCAGCCCCCAGGAGCTCTCTAAAAGCTTCCTAGAGGCTATGCATGGCCATTTTAGTGAAGGGGGTGGGGTTTCAGGAGGCAAAAAATGCTGTGTTCAATGTATAAGACACACCCAGATTTTCAGCCTCTTTTTTGAGGGAAAAAGGTGCGTCTTATACTCTGAAAAATATGGTAACCTAAGGAAACTGGAAATTGCAGAGGTCTTTTTCCTGCATTCATTTTAATTTTTGTACCCTTCCTTTTAGTGAACAGGGTAGTATCACCTTAAATTCAAGATTGTCTTCCTTCCAGGGAATTGTGGTGTGCTTTTTACCTGAAATCAGATGTTGTTCAGTGAGCCTACTTTCTAAGGAATAGATCTTGAATTGAAATTCTCAATTCTTCTCTGAGCTCAAAATGCTGGGCATACACTGTACCAATTATAAATAGGATAACTATGAAGAATTGCAGATGCGATAAATCTTGCTTCTAAATCGCAGACTTTTAAAATGCACAGGATTGCAGAGATTGTTCAGAAAGATTTGTGACAGAGCTAAAACGAGCCAACTCAGGTGAGATGGAGGTGCTAATTTCCTGAAGCAAGTTGAGTTATTACAGCACATATTATTTCAATTATTTTAAGAGAGTCACCATTCAAAAAAAAAAATCCAATCTTTTTTGGTATATAATTCTGTGGTCTTCAAAAAGTTAAGAAACACTCTGCATATGTCTCTGCATTCATCGCAGAAATATAAAACCGGAAACCAAATAACAAAGGGGGCAGGTGGTTTTTTTTAATGACTTTTCCTGCCATTAAAGGCAGAAAAGTCTTAGAAATGAGCCGCTGATGATCTTTTTGGATTGAAATAACAGGCAGTGACTTCCTGGGGTTTGTGTTGCTTCATCTTCTTCCATTCTTAGCAAAAAGCTTGACCAGAGCTTGTGCTTCCTTGGGTTAAATTAGTTGCAGAATTCGGGTAAAGAGAGGCAAGCACAAATTAGATCCGTCTCTGGACTATATGTGATTTCACATGTTTGCTCTTTTTTCTGGGTTAGGGTTTTTTTTAAAAAAAATATAAGAGGTGTGCGTGGACTTGGTAATACAGGAACGAATTGAATTTAAAGTTGCTATTTTTTTTTTCTGGAGAGGAATGAGATGGGAAGTACGCACTACAGAAATACATAAGGCAATTTCCCAGCTAGAAAGAGAGACATTCATTAGACAATCTTAAACTCCTTAATTTTGTGGTCAGGCTATTGGGCTTGGCTATTGATTCCGTTCAATAGGCACATCCCAGGCAACTGATGGACCTTCTTTCATATGACCAGGTCCTTTCTGGGTAAGGAAGGACCAGAAAAGCCCCTGTGGCAGAGGGGGGATTCAGCAGTTCTGGAGAACCGGTGGCGGAAAAATTGAGTAGTTCAGAGAACCAGTAAATACCACCTCTGACTGGCCCTGTCCCCATCTATTCTCTGCCTCCTAAGTCTCAGCTGATAGGGAGGGAATGGGGATTTTGCAGTAACCTTCCCCTGCCACGCCCACCAAGCCACAATCCTCCAAGCCACACTCACAGAACTGGTAGTAAAAACTTTTGAATCTCACCACTGTCCTGTGGGGTTGCTGTGAGAAATATTCTCAGCAGAATAGACGCTGCCCTGTAGAACACCCGCCCTCTGTGGTCCCCCACCTTTCAAGTCTTCTAGAAAGTTTTAAAAGCCCGGTCCTTCTTTCCAGTGAGGTGAAGATGGAATCTAATGATAGTAGATTTTTTTATTCATTGGCAAGTGTTGGATTAGGATGCCAAGAGTTGTTTATTTAGATATCAGCTTTATTGTTTTTGATCGCTGTGCTGGAAGCCATCCAGGATTATGGCACATAAGATGAATAGCCGTATAAGTCTCTTAAATATATAAATACATTCTGACCATGCTGAAGTGACCTTTGGTTGTCAGTTCAACATTATTCCCAGGACGGCATTTGGAAAAAAAATGAGCATAAGGAAAACAGAAGTTAAAAAGATTTCCTCCTTCTTATCACTGTTAAGAGCAGGAGTGTCCAGGGAAAAGCTATGGAATGCAGGAGTCGTTATGCTAGCTCCTGTTTATTCCTAGCCATTTCCATCTGATTTACACATTTATATCCCACTTTATTCATTTTTCCTTCTCATAAGATCGTGATGGCGAACTTATGGCACGCATGCTAGAGGTGGCACGTGGAGCCCTCTCTGTGGACACATGTGCCGTCACCAGCTGCTCTTCTGGTTTCCGGCGAGCACATCCGCAGGCCCTAAAATGCTAGAAAATTGCCTGAAAGCACATGTACATGCGTTCCGGTTTAGGCACTCGGTGGCGAAAAGGTTGCCATCACTGTCATAGGATATCTTTTAACTCAGTTTTTTGGCAAAGTACTAGGTCCCTATTACTTTGCTAAAAACCTGAGTTAAAATATATCCACAGCAGGGGTGGGTTCCGGCAGTCACAAGTGCCGGTTTGCTCATGGGCGCACTGCGTGTGCATACCTAATGCAATAAAAATTGCTCTGCGCATGCGCAGAAGCAAAAAATAAAGATGGCAGCACCATAGGCACCGCTCAGAGAACTGTTTCAGGGGCATGGCAGACCTGGGTCGCTGCTGGTTCCAGTGACCCAGGCTGCCAAACCACTAACGGTTCAGCTGAACTGGTCCAAACCGGTAGGAACCCACCACTGATCCACAGCCAATATATGATCCACTGAAAATCAGGTTTATGGAGCAAAGATGTGATCTTTTGCACAGTTGCCTGGAAGTGAGCTCCAGTGAATTTATTGACACTTACTTTTGAATGCTAAGATTTAAGTTCAGATCTTAACCATGCTTTAACGATTAAAAAAACAAGAAATGTCTTCAGCTACTGTATCTAAGATGCAAAGGAGTTTTACTATTTAAATTGGAAGAGTGGAACTTTTATTGTTTATATTGCGAGAAAAGAGTAAAAGTTCCATCAAAGAAACTGGGGAGATTCCAGCCTCTGCTAAATCCTTTTCCTGATTCTCTTTTATTTTTTTTCCACCCGTCTTCCTAACTTGGCATCCTCTTGGTGTGCTGGCTCCATCACCCTGATTAACTTGAGATGCTAAGGATTATCATTCCACTGGATGCCAGGATCAGGAAGATGCCTCAATGCAATTGTAAATTTTTATTTATTTATTTTTCACATTTTCAGAGCGGGACTCTGAGCAGTGTACATTAAAAGTCTAAAGATTTAAAAGTCTCCGTATCTCCTCATTATTTTGCTAGATCATGAAGACTCCAATAGTTTACGTGATATCTCACCACATATCATCTTTTTAATCTGTCTGTCTGTCTGTCTGTCTATCTATCTATACATACATACATACATACATCTACCTAACCATCTGTCTGTCTGTCTATCCATCTCTCCATCCATCCATCCATCCATCTATCCATCCATCACTTAAAAAGAAACATTAAAATACAAACTGTACAAGTAGATAAGTAGTTTGCATCTATTTCTATTTTAGAAGATATCCCAGCCCTGCAAGTGTCATCTTGCACTTGCTTTTCAATACAACAGTGTTTGAGTGGAACACAACAGGATACCTACAACCCTGCTGATGCCTTTCTGGGCCTCTATTCCTCTACTGAAATCTAACACCGATTTTCTTTTCCTCTGTGATTAATGAGCAGGATGACAAATACTGGGCAAGGCGTAGAAAGAACAACATGGCTGCCAAGCGATCCAGAGATGCCCGGAGGCTGAAGGAAAACCAGATTGCTATCCGTGCCTCGTTCCTTGAGAAGGAGAATACGGCCCTGCGCCAGGAAGTGGCTGACCTACGGAAAGAATTGGGCAAATGCAAGAACGTCCTTGTCAAGTATGAAGCCCGGCATGGTCCTCTCTAAATGGCCTCCTACCCAACTCCCCCCCCCCCGGTCCAATCCCATCCACCACCATCCCCCTGTTTCTTTTCTTCCCATCTACTTTTTTAATTTTCTTTTGTGGTTTTGGCATTTAAATAGATGGGACAGTGTGTTTCCTGTTTGATAGCACCTCACCCAAACCAACCTTTCAGTCATGGGCACTTTAATAGAAAGCAGAAACAGAACCAGTGTACAGTTTGTGTGTATGCACGCGCGCGTATGCTTGTGCACACCTGCCCAGGCATACTTGTGAATAAGTGTGCATGTCTGTCTTGGCTCTTGTGTTTTTATGAAACCCTCTTTGTAGGATTGGATTGGCTGAAACTGGCCATACTAAACTTTTTATGGAATACATACATCTAGATATGTATGTATATATTTTCCAGTGCTGCTTACACTGTATTTTTGTCTTACCCTATCCCATTATTTTGATTTAACTTGGGGGGGGTGGGGAGAAAGAAAGAAAATGAAAGAAAAGCATCCTGGTAATGAGAAAGAACAAGAGAAAGAAGAAAAAAACTGTTTTTGGTTTGTTATTTCAATAAGGCACATCAGGCAGTGTAAACTTACTGATAATAATGCAGAATTGGTATTCATGCTATACTGCAGAGATACTAATTTATAGATTCGCCTTTTTGTTTTATTTCGGTTTTCATTTACTGTTATGTTTTTACATTTTGGTAAATAAAATAGATCTCCAGATTCATTATGTATTTTATATCATCATTGTAGAGAAATAAGGAACAGCTAACTTTCCTTTCATTGCTTTAAAATTATAAATAGACCGCACCCCTTGGGCATAATCAGTAATTCTCTTGTACAGATTAAAATATTTCTCGTGGGCATTGGATGACTTTGGTACCCTAATACTATAATTTTTTTAGTGCTATTTTTCTCTAAAACATTAAAGATTTCTTGATAGTTTGCCTAACAATGATCCCTAACCAGAACAAGCAAAAACATATTCATCTGATGACTGCACACTATCCATTTATGCTGTACGGATAAGGCCAAAGCATATTCCTGCCTTAGGTGAATTAAATTTTTGCTTGTACCAGCTTTCCTCCCCCCATTTTTTGTGATGTGCAGGGCACAACACTAAATACAGGAGTGCAAAACACTTCAAGGCTGACAGACTCCAACTCTGAAACACGTGTTTCAATCTTATTAAGAGCTGACCAGGATAACTCTGTCTTTCATCTGATTTCTTTTATACTTTGCAACCAGCAAGTGGAAATCTAGAAACTGTCAGTTAAATCTTGGGCGGGGGTGGGGGAATTCAGGGTGTCAATTCAGCTAGTGACCTGCTATGCTGCTTCTGCAAATCTTTCTCCAGTCTGCTCAGTCCACAGGGATCTTGAATTTGGTCATTGGGAGAGAGCTTGTCTGCTTTTGATGGTCAAGCTGCTCTTGTGAACATCTGCTGCTCTTGGTGCCGATCCTAGTCCTTGCCCTTAACCAATCTGCGATTGGCATAACCGGAGGAGTTTGGATCCATCCACCATTGGGGACGGAGGTCAAGTGATGCTTGGCTTTGGCTCATCACCCACTATTCAAAGAGTCCAGTGTTGTTCTTGGTATGTAGAAGCCATGCTGATTGGCATGCTAGGTCAGGATGAAACTCTATACAAAAATCAAGATAATTCACTGACCAGAGAACTGGAAACCAAATTTTTTTTTAAAAAAAGGCCTACATTGCACTATCTTTGGAGTTTGAGCAGACTGCATTTTTTAAAAATTTCCATTGATGTTCAGTTTCTGAAATTCTTGCCCCAAAGGTGCTTTTTCCAAAGGCAACTGGGCTTTCTTTGTTTTCCCTCGAAGACACTTTCTCTTCTCATCCAAGAAGCTTCTTCAGTTCTTCCAAACTGAACAGAACTGAAGAGGTTTCTTGGATGAGAAGCAAAATGACTACAAGAAAAAAAAACCAGGAAAGTCCAGTCTCCTTTGGAAAAGGCACCTTTCTTGTCAACCATGACCTGGATGACTGAGACTCTCCATTAGACTTTCTAAAATTCTTATTTCTTTGAATTCAGATTTTTAGTCTACTATGTGCAATATAATTTCTGTAGATTTCCCACCTGCTGGGTTCCCCCCCCCCAAAAAAAATGGCTTTGATTCAGTTAGAAGTCACTTTTGCGGGGTTTTAAGTTTTGTTTTGCCTTGACATGCTGCTGTGATTGTATAATGAGCTGATTGTTTTCAAAGATTCTCCTGTTATTTTTTTATCTATAATTTGTTTCTAAACTTATGCTATATTATACGAAGTATTTTTGGAGGATGGGAAGGAAATGAATGTAAGAGATACAGATATATATTGAAAAGCGGCGGTGTTGTCACACCGTGGTTAATTCAGTTCTTTTAAATGTTTCCTGAAGACCAAAAGAAATTGATTATTATAAAATGTATAAAATTTATACAGAATCTTTAGAGTGTGATTTTTTTCTGTACAGTATTTTTCAAGGACAAATGTCGATTCTGTATTTTGGGAAAAAGAATAAGATATATATCAATCATATGTTTAAGCAAAGAGAGGGTTTAAAAAAAATAGATTATTTCACCTTAAAGATGACAATATATCTCTTTATATATTCATGAATATTGAATACCGAAGAAATGCTTTTAGGGCTTTTTTTAAAAAAATGATGATATTGTACAGCTTGCCACTGGCACATTAACATAGTTTTGTGTTTTCAGTTAGAGAATGATCCATGTCGCTGGGCTCAGTTGCTTACTTCTGGAAGGATCCCATTGGGTGCAATAGAAGGCTTTACCTCCCTCTTTTTCTTAATGTACCCCACTTTAGCAACTGTCCATGTATGAGAAGAAGAGGCTTGTGCACATCCCCCATTCCCCCCTGAAGGACTGTAGAGTTCCTGCCAGCTTCATGTAAACCTTCCATGTAAAATTGACTGGGGCTTTATAGAGATGGACGGGACTCTAAAATGTTTTCTCTTCAGGCACGCAGAAAAGACTGCTGCAGTCTTTCAAATTTCTCCTGAGCAAATACAGCTCAACTATCCTTTTTTTTAAAAAAAAATGCAGTTAATTGGTTGGACAATTAACATCTGTCACCAAGCTTCAAGGGTGCAAATACATTGGGGATTGGGCAGGATGAATAATAATGCCCATAGAGCTTGCGTTACATCAATCCCCTCTGAGATTTCTATCCCATGATGAGGTTTTGTGTCCACGATGAGAGTTTTGGAAAGAAAGAAAAAAGTACTTCTGGTTCATGCAGATTGAAACAAGTTTCTTTGAAAAGACATCAGCTGAGAAGGCTGGAGTGTCTGTCCAGACCTCTCCCCAAAGACAGCTCAACAGACCTAAAACAGAAGGCCTATTTTTCAATTCAATACAGTGGAGAGCAGGTAGGACCTCTGCTTCAGGCACCTTCCAAATACTGGACTTCTAGTTGCATTGGACAGTAGCATCCAAAATTTCTAGCCAGCCACAGCTCTCTTAGGTGATCAACAGTGTAGGTCTGTGTACTTCTCCGGGTTTAGGAAGGGTGTTTGATTTGGGGGGAACATTTAGAAACAGTAAGAATCGTTTCAGGGACATGGTAGCTCAGTGGCTAAGATACTGAGCTTGTCAATCAGAAAGGTTGGCAGTTCAGCGGTTTGAATCCCTAGCAGTGCGTAACAGAGCTCCCATTAGTTGTCCCAGCTTCTGCCAACTTAGCAGTTCAAAAACATGTAAAAATGCAAGTAGAAAAATAGGGACCACTTTGGTGGGAAGGTATCGATGTTTCATGCGCCTTGGGCATTTAGTCATGCTGGCCAGATGACCACAGGGATGTCTTCAGACAGCACTGGCTCTTCGGCTTTGAAATGGAGATGAGCACCGCCCCCTAGAGTCGGAAACGACTAGCACAGATGTGCGAGGGGAAACTTTACTTTTACCTAAGAATCATTTCAGATGTTAAAGAGGAGGCCAGGTTAGTTGCTCAGTATTCCTTCCCTACCCTGGTATCCTGTTTGACACACTTGTCCAAACTGAATTCCTTTTATACCAATTTTGGTGCCCAGAGTTTTCTGTAAGGCAGTCATTTCTGCTTGTGGAACCACATAGCTTCTCGTTCTTTACTCTTACCCATGTTGGATAATGCTGCTGACCAGCAAGTTCAACAACATCGAAACAGCATAGATTCCCCATCCTGGCTTCATGCTTACTGCTTTTTCATATCAACCTTGAACTGCAAATATTCTCCTTTATTATTGCTGCTTTCCTTCTGGCATCTTCTAGAGGTCTGTTGTTTTAATATTCTTGCCCAGTCTCATTCTCTCACTGGTTGAATACAAGAGTGAGCAAAGCCATATGACTTATTTGAGGCATACTTGGCTTTCATTTATACTTGAAGAGGTGATTTTTTGAATTGGTGAATTACAGGAAAGGTGTTGGGGTATTTTTTTAGCGCATTTAAAATACTGCACATCATAAAATTATGGTGCCACATGTCTTTCTAGATCGCTTTTTCCCACCAAAACAAGTGCATTTCTGTTACATGATCACATTATATTAAAAGTGATTTAAACAAAAGTTTTGGACAATTTCAAAGAAATGTTGCCATTCTTAGATGACTTTCCGGAAAGATTGAAAATATATCTCAGTATCCTAAATGCTTTAATAGATTTTTTTTTGGACCATTATTTCAGCTGAGTAATCCTCTTTAGGGGATAAACTATCCTTTGCTGGCCAGTAAATATTTCTTTCTAAATGTTTATGTTTGTGTGGAAGTAAAAATAAATATTAAGATAATAATTTTCATTGAGTTCACAAGCCTAGTTTAAGAAGTTGTGAACAGAAACTCTGTTCATTTCCCCCAAATCCCAAATATTTTAATGGTCTGACTCATAATTTTGCCTTGTCTGGAGGGGACAGTATAGAAAATCAAATTAACAAAGATGCTCTCCAGGCTAAAAAGTTTTATTTCAATGATGGATATAGAGACTTTAAAGAAAAAAAAATCACTAATCTGGAAATTCTTTTGAGATATAAAGATCTCCTCAATACAGAGCTGTTAATATTAGAAACACCAGTCACTTCATCATTGTAGGATCATTTAATTTCTTGACAGGACAACTATACCAAGTCATAGAAGCCACTGTCAAATTATACGGTGGCTTCTGTGAATAATCCGTAGTTACACACAATACAATATCTTGAACCACAACAAAGCAACCAGATGCCCACACTTGATCTGCCCTCAAAACATGTTTGCTTCCAATTTTGATCTTTAATATGGCCTGCTAGTTTATTTGGTTTTACCCTATGAATCGGAATAGGTAAGTGATAAGCTTCTCTCAAAAGAAGAAGAAAAAGAAAAAAACATAAATGAGGACAGGAGCAAGTCAGCTGTGACTTGAACACAGGACAAATGAGGTTGAATTTTCCAGAGATGGGCAGAATCTAGGACAAGGCCAACAGCGATAAACCACTGATCAGAACTG